ACTCAAAGCGTACCTGCTCTGTTGATTTGTTCTAAGATCTAAAGTAACGTTTAATAAATAAGCAGTAGGCTAATAGGTAATTGCGAAACTTGCGAGACTCTTGCTGCAAGATCAAGACCAAGACCAAGACCAGGGGTATTGGCGCAAGACCAAGACCAAGATTGGCTAAGTCTCGTTTTGTTCTTGTATTTGAGCAACACTAGCAGGAAGTCGATGGATGTAGGTGGCTCAAGACCGTGCTTTGTAAAGGCTCCAACCACTACCAAGTATTTTGTTAATACATATAAAGAAACACTATTAAAAACACTATTAAATGGGAATTCAATCTTCATAATACCACCTGCTATAATTGGTGCTCACGCCGTGGCTTTAATTAGTTTAAAAAGAATTCAAAATTTGGATGTTTCGTAGATTTCTAATAAAAAAATTTAAAAAGGAAACAAATTTAGTATGTATTATATATATATATATATATATATATATATATATATATATATATATATATATATATAGGGTAGTGGACAACAACAACCCCCCAAAAAAAAATATAGTAATTTCATTTATTTTGACTGAAATAGTCTTATCTAAGTAGTTATGAGAGAGAAAGTGACACAAATATCTTCATAAAACAATACTCAGTTCATTATAATACCAATAACTAAATTCTAAGCTAGGCCAACAACTAATTCTTCCTATAACTTTTGCATAGATTTGTGACAAGAAGAGAGAAAATACCAAAATATTCGAAGGAGCAGTTGGATAACGCGTTAGAAGATATTAACCAGGGAATCCCTTTAAGAACTGCAGCAAAAAATATGGGATACCTAGGGTAACATTGCAATTAAAATTAAAAAATCCAACAAGTAAAAACTACTTTGGACCAAACCTATATTTAACGAATGAAGAAGAACAACTATTGGAAGATTTGATCTGTGATATGGGAAGAAGAGGTTTTCCAAGAAACTTTTACGATATTTTGGACTCTGTTCAAAAATTTTTGATTGCAAATTCTCGAGAGACCCCATTTGCAAATAATAGACCTGGGAAAGGGTGGTTGTAAGGTTTTTTAAAACGTCATCCAAGAATCACACAAAGAACGGGAGAAGCAGTATTCGTAACTGTTTCGCTGAAGTAACAAGTTTACTAGAACAATCAGGTCTAAACAGTGTCTTAAAAGATCCATCAAGAATTTTTAACGCAGATGAAAGTAGCTTTCAGACTTGTCCAACAACAGGAAGAGTTTTTGCTGAGAGAGGAGAAAAAAACGTGTACTACAATGTACAGGTTTTTGTCTCCTCTCTCAAAAAAATAAATAAAGGAAAAGCCAAAGAATACATGACAGTTCTGTTTCAGCTGCTGTAGGAAATGTCTTGCCTACAATTGTGTATCCCTACCAAAGATTACCCGACAGAATAAAGCAGAGTGTGTCTAAAGAATTCCGTTATGTCACCAGCCCATCCGGACGGATGACAGCAGATACTTTTAAATACAGAAAAAGCACAAATACATGCGATTTCCAATGATTCAACAGAAAACATACAATTATTACTAAAACGAGCATTGAGATAAATAAAATAGACCAAAGCAACTTTGATGCAATAGCAAGAGAAAACGAAATCTCCACAAAAACATTAAAACCAGATGATCTTATTACTTCGCAAGACTTTAGTATTGAAGACGAAGCTCTTCCACGTCAAGACCTAAAAGCCGGTCTTAAAGATTTTGTACACGTACCACCCATACACATATTACATCTCAGGAGCAGATTATCAAAAGATTCTAGAAAAAAAGCTAAGGAAAAATAAAACATAGAAAAAGAAACAAGAGAACGTAAAATTCAAAGAGAACAAAAATAAATTAATAGAAAAAGAAAGGCTGAAGAAACCATGGCTGCCAAAATTAATAAAAATAAAAAATTATTTTTAACCAGACCTGTAATATTTGCAAAAAAACCCGAGAAGAAAGGAAACTTAACGAATGGCGTATCTCACTGTAAGCGTAATTTTTATAGACGTTGTGTATCAAAATCTCATAGAGAGCACACACAGTTACCACTGTTACATTATCACTGAAAATAGCAAAAATGGAGAATGAAAATAACGAAAACTTCACTGGTGACAATCATTCTGATGATGAATTTTTATGTAGCGTCAAAGAAAGACAATTGGAACTAGGATTTCGTCCTATACTATTTAATTAACGCCCTTTTTGTGTGATGGTCAATAACTGTACTTTAAGAGGCTAATAACTGTGATTTGGGGGCCAATAATTACATTTTATGTGATCTCAGATACTTTCTTTAGGTTAAAATAAAAAATGTTAAAATATAGAACCAAATGAAACTTTAAATGAAAGAAATGTTGTTTTTTTATGATAAAAATATAAAATTAAAAATAAAAGATAAGTTTTCATTTATTTATAAAGAGATACATTACACATTGCGCTTAAAGGGCCAATTACTATATCCACTACCCAAAAAAATATATATATATATATATATATATATATATATATATATCCTCTCTATTTGATTATTGCTGCACCGCCTCCAAAATGTCTATATCTGTTTAGTAATGGTTGACTGGGAGAGAATGCCCTATGGCATTAAGTCCGCCATATGTACTACTTTGTGCATAAAAGTATAAATAAATAAATAAATAATGTACAAATTTTGTCCTCAGCCAAATTTAAAAAAATTATAAAATAAAGAATTTATATAATACATAAAGGGTTATTATAATGGTACGTAATTTATGGATGTTAATTACGCCTGGCAATGAGGTGATCGATTCTGAGCTATTTCTGACTTGTTTTGTGTAGTTGCTAATTGTGTAACATAATATATGATTGTAAACTGTTATTTTTTATTTGATCCGCTGGGTTTCTTGCCGGTTCTTACCAGGATAGATGTATTTTACGAACCAGTGGCAAATAAAACATAAGAATAACTAATGATTTTTTTATATTTACACATATATTTCACATTGAATAAAACAAACAGTAATAGAAATCTGCTGACTTGAAGCACCGAGACTCCGGTAAGTTTGCGTTCTGTGAACACGTTCAAGATGATCTTTACATTAGATCATGCATTAGATTCAAAAGCCCACAAATCCGCGCAAAATAATACCGATTCATACCAAGTATGTAAGCAGAATTAACGAGGCTATTGAAATTTAAAAAAAAAAACATTCAAATTTCAATAGTGAGATGTATGGGTGCTTGGGTGCTCCCATCTTCTTGGGATCCTTTAATTAATAAAATTAAATCCAAACCCAAACATACAACTGCAAGACTTTAAGATTCTATAAGTTCATACTGCGTAGATCGGAACAAAACTTAATAATTTTAATCTGGAGGTAGACGTGGTTAACTATGACGTTGGACGTCGAAGACCTTAGTGCTACCCGTAAGCATAAGTGCTGTAAAGCACTCAAAACATCGGGAAAATAAAATAAGTTAATAATATATACTATTATTTTTTATATTTTTTTGACATACGATGGACAAAACAAAGATCATTGACGGTCCAACACTGTGCATTGAACTAGAAGCTTTCTTCCTCGTAAAACTTCTCTGTGGAATTGTTTACCAGTGGCGATTTTCCGGACCGATACGACTTAGGGACCTTCAAGAAAAGAGGTTACTCCTTGTTAAAAGGCCAATTCCCCTGGTGTTGCGGTTAAGCATGGGCGGCGGTAGTCACTTATCATCAGGTGAGCCGCATGCTCGTTTGGCCCCCCTCTTCAACACACACACACACACACACACACACGCACGCACGCACGCACGCACTCACGCACGCACGCACGCACGCACGCACGCACGCACGCACGCACGCACGCACGCACGAACGCACGCACGCACGCACGTACGCACGCACGCACGCACACACGCATCGCACACATATATATATTTATATATATATATATATATATATATATATATATATATATATATATACAGGATGTTAGTGTAAACACCGTTGTCCTTGAAACCAGTGGTTTGGTTTCTCTTATAGAACGTAAATTCAATAAAAACTAACAACATTTTTTTGGTAAAATCTCGATTTTTATTTAATTCCTCAATTTTTCCCTGTCCTAAGCCAGGATGAAAGTATGAAGGAAAAATTACATCACAGGTTATGTGTACTTGTGTTTTTATGTTGAATGTTGTGTAGGTAGCTAGCGCGGGCGGTGATCTTTACAGTGATTACGTCACTCGGGCGCATAGGGTATCCATGAATTTACGGACGGTGTCGGACAGAAACTTTTTAATTTTATGAAAGAAAATAGCGTTTTTTTTTTTATTCATTGAATTCACGTTCTATAAGTGAAACCAAACCACTGGTTTCAAGGACAACGGTGTTTACACTAACAGCCTGTATATATATATATATATATATATATATATATATATATATATATATATATATATATATATATATACTTTGGTATTATACAATATACCTATGCATATAACAGTACGCATGTATGTATGTACGTATATAAATATTTTTTATTCCTAAGTATATATTACTCATCCATGCTAAAAATGCAATATAATCTCATTTGGCTTATAAAAATAACAATATACTTATAATATAAAAAGTTCGTTCTAAAATATTTCGTAAAAATTAACATTCAAAAGCTTAAGGACGTCAAACACCCTTCCCTTCCCCATACGACTAATCTCTTGATCATGGGTGCTGTGAAGCACACAATATGTTGGGAATAAAGAATACGTTAAATAAGTGCCACTTCGAGAATGTAAAAGTTTCGTTCATTTTTCATTTGAACGCATTTATAATTCATCGATTCATTATACCTTAGACGTTCTACACTCTGTTACTGTACTCTCCTTTATATTTATATATTTTCACTTACATACACAAGAATACGTTCAAACTTTAGACCTTGAATGGTCTAAGGTTCAAACCGATAAGGTACATATTAGCGCAGAAGGTTCAAACGATTCAGTTTTATCCCAACATCACAACAATGACCTCGTGTCTTACTTCTTACCTTATACTTAGTTTCGTGGCTGTAATGAGTAAGTTTTTATCGACTTGTTATGTTTGGTTTATAAGTTATCCGACCTTTTTTGCCAGTATCCTTTAAATTGTCTAATATATACTTATACTAGCTTGCCAGGCAGACGTTGTTCTGCCCTTTTCGACGTCATTTTTCACCCTTTGTCCTATTCTCCAATTAAAAATCCTTAAATTCGCAAAAAAATTGTGGGTCACTCATGGGCAAAAAAACTATCCTATCTCTCAAGTCGGACCAAACTGCAAACGGTGTGAAAATTTGATTAAAATCGGTTAAGTAATTTAGGAGCCCATCGTGGACAAACAACGTGACACGTAATTTATATATACTTCCAGTCAAACCCGGATGAGCGAGAGTTCAAGGGAGCACAATCTCATTCTTGCTTATTAACAAATTATTATTGAGGTTTTGTTTCTCGCTAATGCAGGTACATGGGTAGCGTTTCTCTCTTATAGAGGTATGCAGCAATAATAAGTCACAGCAAGTACAAATGTAATAAATATCTAATATGATAAAATTAGGTGAATAATATGCACAACATATATTATGTACATATATATTTTAATAGTGTGTATACGTTACGTTTCATGTCACTATTTTAAGTTAATTTTTATTTTTTATTTTACACTTAGTGACATTACTTTAATTTTCCGTTTCGACATGATGCAGAACAGAACTTTCCTTCGAAATTGATTAACTATAAACTGAGTAAGTCCGACAAACAAGATAGTACACAGGCACACGTGTCCATTCGAAAAGAATGCGAATAAAAGAACAACGTTATTTAGTTCTACGAAATAGAATAGGCACAATATTGACGAGAAAACAATACAAAAACAATGGTAGAAAGTTCCACGAAAGTTAAGAATGAGTCATAAAATAGCAGATGTTAAATTTGTAATTTGTTTTGTCATTTGTTACTGTATGTGTGTATCTTTTATGTATGTATATATTTTTATTGTAGCTATAGTTAAATAACATGAATAAATAAAGTTCAACTGTCGCTTATAGAGGTATAGATAAGTAGCAGTCTCTCTTACGGGCGGATGAGGGAAAAACGACTCTCTTACAGAGGTTTCTGTTTCTCGATAATAGAGGTTGAACTTACCGTTAGGTAGAGTGTGAAGTAATTTGGCATCCCTATTTATAGGCCCAAAAAATTAGTTAGTAACTTTTTCTGGATTCACTCGGCCACTTTAATCCTGTCCGGCGCAGATGGCTAGCCTCCGTTGGGGCTGACCGCCGTGACCGAATTTTGATTTGGATGACATTATTTTTACACAAAATAATATTATAAATAAATTAAAGCATCCTCCCAAACTCAGCAAATACGCCAGTAGTCTCAACTTGATCGCAACCTTCGAGATCTACCAGAAGTGGGCAACTTTACTTTAAAACAACCATTATTTGAATTTTAGATGGCCAGCAATTCCGTTGTGACTACAGATTCTTTCCGGAAGCAGATGGATGGCTTAAGTTGCATCGTGTGCCTGCCAACTGGTTCGAGGCACGGTTGAGATGTCATCTCGAAGGTATGAAGTCAATTCACCTTTTATTAAAAGGTCAAACTAAAATTTTTATTACAAATTAACTACTTACCGTGTAGTGGCGGTGTAAGAATATCAACTACCCCATATCGTCTCTTGGGTGCCGTAAGAGGCGACAGACTGACACAAATCAGGAGATGGGCGTGGTGTCTTCATAATAACAAAAGAAACTGCAGTTGCCAAACCGCCTGCCAAGCATGGCGACTGTAGCAAATATCCCCCTATGAGGCAATATATGGGGGAGGTCTATGTTTAGCAGTTGATCCTTGATAAGTTGTAATGATTAAGGTTATTTCATAGAGCTTTATTTTATATTTAGCATAGTACTACTTCACATTCTACAGATTTTAATGTGTGTTTAAAACTTAACAGCTTTACGCGTTACGCGTTTTGTGAATATATTTACTAGTATATCAGTGTTTTTGTTTTTATTTTCACAATTTAGATAAACTTGTTTATTATTAACTTTAATTTGTTTACTCTCAACACGTGTTTTAATTCAAGATATACAACAGCAACCCAATGTATGTCTCATCGGCAGATTGTATGATTCGTCATATTAGCTTTTTACCCGCGGCTTAGCTCGCGTAATATAATATATAGTTATATTATTATTGTGAATATATATACTCGTATGTCAGTGTTGACCACAATTGAGATAGACTAGTTTATTATTAACTTTAATTTGTGTACTCTAAACATGTGTTTTAGTTCAAGATATACGGTTATTATTACTTAGTTGTGATATTATTATTTTACTTGTTTTATTATTTATTAGAATAAAAATTGAGGGCACCGAAAAACTTAACAGCGCTGTATCTGTTGAATCTTTTCGTAGCTACAACGCCATGTATGTGTCTTCGACAGAATGTATGAATCGTCATTATACAAACAAAAATGTTTGCAAATGCTCTGCAAATACATTTGTCGTCATTAGATCGTAGAAATGGGCAAATTATAATATGCCCGGGCATTCCACGATGCGCCACCATTTCATGATTTACATTATATATAAATGTACGCAGCTTTGAGATAGCCCATTCGCACCTTATCTACAGTCGCTAATCTTACTAAACAGATGCTTATTTGTATTTATGACTGACTGACTAGTTGATCTAGTGATCGTGAACGCGATCGCTGATCATGAGGTTCCAGGTTCAAAAGTCGGACCGAAATCAGTTATTAGTTTTTTCTCGCAAGAAATTCTCAGTAGCAGCCTGGAATCGGTAAGGTGGCGGTGTGTCACCTCCGTGCCTTGGAAAGCACGAAAAGCCGTTGATCCTGCGCCTGATCTCTCTACAGTCGTGTTGGATTACTGTCCCATCGGACTATGAGAGTGGGATTAGCCGCCGTGAGCGAAATTCGTTCTGAAGGATATTACCGTTACGACAGCGTTTTGCATCATGTTGCACGAGAATGTTCCCGATAATAAGGGTCAGTGGGGTCTTTCAAGTAATAAAATACGTGGGAATAAAATAGATAACGCTCAAACTATTGATGCAACGCGTAATAACATAAAATGATGTGTTTTTTCCTAGTTTAAAGAGTACCTCCCTCCCTTACTCAATTCCGCGCACTATCCCCGTCAGTACTAATCCCAGCACCACTGCTTCCAGTACTACTATTTCCAGCAACAATACACCAGGAAAGACATACTACCGTCGACAATACGACACGTGTTATGCCCCTACACGAGGCATATATGGGTGAAGTAGAGCCTGCAGTGGCTGACCTCTAAGTGAGCGGAAACAAAATTGTTTGTGACCTTTGTGACGAATGCCACGCCGTTTATTTACGTGGTTAAACTGTTCGTAACTTCGAGACACTTTATAAAGAGCATTTAACCGCGTATAAGAATTGCAAACCCGATAAATCCTATTTTGGTAAACATCTCTTGGATACTGGACACAACCTACTAGGGTTTGGGTCCCGGGACGTCTCGTGTCTCGAAGTCCCGGGACTTTAAGTAATTTTAGTTGTCTCGAGTCCCGGGACTTTCAGGTCGAGGCTTGAGACGAGACAAAATTGTCGAAATTGTTATGTAATCATTTTTATTTTCAAATAATTGAAGGAGTCTGGCACCATCTGGTGGTTTAATGTGTAATTACTTGGTCTTCTACGTAGCTACTGAGTACACAACACAACAAATGCGTTTGTAGTTGTTTGCTTAACGTTATTAAAATTAGTATGATTTTTAATTAAGTTCGTTTTATAACTATAAGATTTATCTGTTTAAAAGTGGCGGTTTTAGGGCAAAGGAGAGTTATCTACGCTGCCCGTTGCTCCACTCAGTTGTAGGTTTCCTCACAATGGTTTTGATTACCGCCGAGCACTAAGTAAATTAGAACAACGTATGTCGAGATTGAATTTGTGTGTGAAATATCTTAAAAGAAATAAATAACGCAATTATTAAGACTGAAATTAACTTTAAATTTATTAAGATTTAATTTTCTGTTTAATAAATGTTGATTTTTACAAAAACAATGCCTTTTTAACATGTTTCATAAGAAAATATTTCAATTAAAATTCTTCAAAAAAGGCTTAACTCTCTTAAAAAATTTTTCTTAAGTCTCGAAGTCCCGGGAATTCCCAGGACTTTGATTGTTGGCTATCTCGTGACCCGGAACTTTGAAATTGTCAGGAATTCCCAAACCCTGCAACCTACCCAACGACCACTCATTTAAAGTTTTACATACTTATAATATAGAGCTGCGACTGTCTGTACTGGAACAGTTAGAGATATTAAAAAAAATAAAGAAAAGTGCAACGTTACACTGCTGACTGAACAAACAAATGTCTAATTCACCTGATGATGCCTCGTTTAGAGGCGAAACATGTGTCGTATTATCTTTGGTGGTGTCTTTCCTGGTGTAGTGGTGTTGGGAGTAGTGGTGCTGGGACTAGTGGTGACGGGGCTAGTGCATGTAATTAAGGGAAGAGGGGAATTGGAGGAGATTGGAGCAGGGAAATCTTCATGTTGTAGGGTTTTTTCAAGGGTGATACCGTAACGATGTGAGCAAATTATTTGCAGAAAATTACAGCTTTAGAAAGATGAAGTCTTTATTTAACACGTTGAGCGCCGCGTGTTTCCTTTTGGGTACATGGTCGACCCTTTAGTTCGAGGCCAGTGTATCCACTAGGAAACACATTTTCATACATTTTCCTACGGAATCTTTTACTTCTGGCCTCTAAGAAGGTTTCGGTCCGAGTGGGTTTTTTATATGTCTTTTAGGTAAAAAATTATGACAAAAATAAAAAACATCTATTTTTAGAAATTACATTTATTTGTATTATTCTCATTTCTTTTAGAAAATCAACAGTAGATAGATAGATAAAATATAACAGGCTGGTATAATTAGTAGTTTTTTTTACAAAAAAATAGTTAGTAGAGCTTGTCAAAGTGATCTGTACTTGGTAAAACTTAGACTGAGACTTAGAGCAAATTCTCTTCGTTTGTTTTTTCGTTTTCCTTGCCTTCCATACATCTTATAGCCTTCGACACAACGTCCTTACATTTTTTTCGGAGGGTTTTCCTTGATATTGAAAACATGTCTGAGTCGCTTGTTTGATATTGGTCGTGGTGTTAGTGGGCTTTGGTCTTCTTGACGTGAGTATTTGTGAGGCATTCCTCTAATAACTGCCTCCCTAAATTCTGTGTTTTGAGAGCCTTTCTGCGAGTATTCTCAGAGTACAAAAATAGAGCATTCACGATGCTGATACCCTACAATACTTCAAGAAATAATTTTCTGTACTATTTTGTACAACGCCTCAACCCCGAGCACATGAAAAATCATGGAATTTCATGGAAACCCCAAATGATTTAACATGATTTTACTATTAGTATAACAATGAAAATTAAGACAAAAAAGGCAGGTTCAAAAATTGAAAAAACATAGTTATTGGGTTTGGCGGTCAACGTGTTAATGCACTACAACAGTTTTTTTATGACGGTTTGTTAGAGCGAAGACAGTCCCACCATGGCGTTTTACGAAAATATCAGTCGGAGTTATTTTTTCCGTGTATTTAGATATAAACTTATCTGTGTTCATTATTTTATCAAAATACGGGAAATGTTAAATATCTAAAAAAAATAGCTCGTTTTATTTAGTCAATTATTTTATACGATTATTTTAAAAATACTACAAATTATCACGCGCAGACGCCATCGATTTAGTATACTCCGGGTATTTCCGAGAATAGGACGCATCCTTTTTTTCCGCCACCGCTCGATTTCGTTTAATTCACACCGATAGCGTAAACTAGTGTTCCGATTTGCGCAGGATGTCTAGTCTAATAAGACTAGACGTCTGACGAGAATTTTTACTATCCTTCTTGTTTGTATTTACATCGATCATTTTGACAGCAATCTATACATATAATAAATCTGTAGAAAAGTTGTGTCTGTAAATCTAATATATTTTTAAGAAAACAAGTCCAGGGGACTATACAAAGGGTACTGAAGCCATATTAGTCGTTTTTAGAATTTTTGTTTTGTCTGTCTGTCTGTCTGTGTATTAACGATTCACGCAAAAACTACTGAACAGATTTCCATGAAATTGTGTGTGTAAAAGCTACTGAACGGATTTCCATGGAATTGCTGGTAACAGGTGTGATGCTGGGAAGCTTTGAGCACGGCGACTTCGAATGATAGCTTCCGAATTTCTTCGAGAAGAAACTGGGTATCATTGGCCTTTGTTGAAGTGCTTTCGATCATCGATATGTGTGAGCTACTGCTGTTTTCGATCATCTTGTCCGCCAGGAGTGCCAGTTCGTCGAGCTTCGTCTGCGTGCTGAATGTTTCACTGACTGCTAGTACCGATTGAACATGTGGTGGTAGGTGGTTTACCCACATTAGCCGTAGCGTTGAATCTGGGACTTTATCTCGCGCCAAAGTACGCATTTTGCGTAGGAGTTATGTGGGCTTCTGGTCTCCAAGTTCTATGTCAGATAGAAGTTTCTGTAGCTGGCGACTGTCGGATTCTTCA